GTAATTATTTTTAATTTGGGCCCTTATCCGTAATTATTTTCACTTTTCAGGCCCTTATTTGTAAATTCCCCTAAAATTTAATTAACATAGATTTACATTATAAAATTTTAAATATCACTAGTCGATAGGTGGTGCTTACATGCTATCTATCTTATTCAAAATTTGTTTTACTATTTTAGTTTTAAAAAAAACATACAAAATATGTTTGTGTTTAAAGTAATTTATAACTCATTATTACTGTAAAAAATTTTATTTAATATTTCTATTTTATCTCTAATTTTTGTAAAAACTTTGTAATTTTTAACTTGATGTGGACCAAATTTTCTCATTTGAAGGTATAAATTCCATAAATATGCAATATTTACGGATAAAACATGGAATATAAAACACAGATTAACTTTTTTTATTGGGTATACAAAACATATAAAAAAAAAATTTATTTTGCTAAAATATAATATAATTCAGGTTGTAATATAACCCGCAATCAGATAACATTTGCAAAATTTGGTCGATGATATGTCGTAAACTGTAGTTCAAATGACAATTTGGCCAAATTATAAATTTAGTTACCAAATTACCATAATTTTATTGGTAAGTAACCAAAATAGTTACTTACGGTAATCAAATTCATAAAATTTTTGCTTATTAAATTACAAGAGTAAATAGGAGGCCGTTGGCACCCTTGATAGTGTATTCATATATATAATATATAGATATAGGAAAGATAGTTCATATATTATTATTTACTAAAATCCATTTCTGATTGTATTTGGTTTCTAATCTTAATAAAATACAAAAGATTAAAGTTGAGTATTACCATGATTTTCTCAGAACTATCAGGATCCCTATAAAAATTTTTTGAAAAATGTATCCTGACTTTCTCTAGATTATTATTCTGGAAAAAGTTATTCTTTGTAACAAATCATATACAAATTCCTGGTCATTTCCATAGAATCCTAATAAATTCTGTATAAAAATCAAACCTTGATAACTTTTGGCTTTTAATTATAATAAAGTACAAAAGATTAAAAGCAGAGTTTTACCTGGATTTGATTTTTTGCTTGAAAAATTATTAGGATTCTATGGAAATTATCAGGAATTTGTATTTGGTTTGTTTTGAAGAAATGTGCTAGGGAATCTTATGAAGATAAATGTTTTTATAAAAATAGACTTCTAGAATGACAATCTGAGAAAAATATAATTTCAAAAATTTTTTTCTATAGTGTATAGTTCTAAGTATAGAAATAGTAATGCAGAAGTGAGAATATTTTAAGTTAGTCTAGGAATATTTAAGATATTTGCTTGGGTAAGAATAATTTACCTTATAGTGAACCTCAAAAATTTTTCGAAAACTATATCCAACTTTCTCCAGACTATCGTTCCGGAAAATGCTCATTTTTTAAAACAAAACTTATATAAATTGCTGGCCAATTTCATAGAATCCAGATAATTTTTGGGTAGAAATCAAATCTGCGTGAGATTCGGATTCTAATCCTTTTGTAATTCATTATAATTAGAAGCTGAATCTTATTTGAATTTGATTTTTATTAGAATTCTATAGAAATAACCAGGAATTTATATGATTTGTTCCAAAAAAATGAGCATTTTCCGGAATGATAATGGAACAATAGTCTGGAGAAAGCCAGGATATGTTTTTCAAAAATTTTTATAAAGCAGAGGCTGGCTTCTTCGTTAAACCTGTAAACAACACAACAGCAAGATATACAATAAGCCTAGTGATAAAATTTTGAGCAGCCTGCATAGTAGATTCAAAAAAAAACTTCGATTTTCTCATCTTAAATGAGCTTTTAAGTAATGTTTTAATAGTGTTATTAGTTAGTGACAGGTTCTGCAACTGCATTAGCATATGTTTTGCTTTTGCTCAAAGCTGCAATAGCAGTACAAGAGCTTTGTTTTTTTATGTTTTTGGCTCCATGGTTGCTATAGATATGAAGAACCTTAAGTGATGCTTACCTTGTAAAAATCATTTTACGATCTCTATGTAGCCATATGAGGTACTTTGTGTTTATTATGAGACCTTCCTTGTTTGCGTATAAAAGAAGTTTTCTGATATTATTTATTATTGTTTGTTAGTATAGTCAAACCTCTCTAAGTGCACTTTTATAAGTACACACCCTCTATAAATGCATATTAAAGCCTGGTCCCAAGCTGGGACCATAGTATTAAATGCACACCCTCTATGTTCTGCACGTGCATTTAATTTTTATTATTAGGCTATCTTCCGTAAGTGCACTATCACGTGCTAATAGATTAGCTTGACCAATAAAATTTTGAACAATTATATGATGTTGCTACAGAAAATGTGTAACCTCTATAATTTATGTTAAACCAGTATAAAAATAGAAATCTTATAACAAACCAGTTTAACATAAATTATGGATGCTACCAGCTTCAACTTGCTCTAACATCCATCTAATATTTTAAAAAAAAAATTTTTTTTAAATTTGGATCCAATAGTTGTGATAAACTACTGTATCAGAATAAATTAAAGAACAAATTCAATACAAATATTCAGCCCCATTTTACTGATAGTCTGCTTCATTAACAGCCTTATTATTAAAGACTATATTATGTAATCAGCTATCATTAAATAGACTATTAGTAAAACAGGGCTATCAGGATTGAGAATTGTGGCGAATAAATAAAATAATAATAAAGTGAAGAATGACTAAAACAATAAAAAAAATAAATAAAATAGAAATAAAATATATAATACAATAACTTACTAGAGATAAAAATGATGATAGACTCTTTTAAAAGTCATGATTATTCTTGTATCCATTGGTTGTATCTTAGAAGTTGTATTTTTGGGTAAAAAATGTACATCTACATACCGGAGGATTAACCCATCTAATTTATGACTAGAACAATTGTCAAAAAGTAAAAGAATATGCTGGCCTCTATGCTTCTACAACATTTGGTGGTCAAAATCCTGAAGCCACTCTTGAAAAAGAATCACAGGCATCTAAGCCTTAGCATTGCTCCTATATGTCATGGGCAAATTATTAATTTTCACATTTTTGAAATATCGGGGTTTGGCATATTTGCCAATCATAAGAGGTGCTAACTTATAGGATCTATCAGCATTCGCACATAACGCCACAGAAATACGTTCCTTATTTTTTTTGCGCCCTGCAATTCGCCGATTCACTAAGGTTCGATCCGGTTCCAATCTAGAAAGAAATTTTTTTATTAAAAAAAAAAAAAAGAAGAAAAAAAATTTTATCAAAGAAAAAAAAAACTACTGGTAAAAAAGTCCGGTTTTGTCCATATTATATATGCGGTCAAGAGGGTATTCAGAGCATTTACTTTTCAATAAAGGTAAGGATTCAGTAATAACATCCTCATCAACAGAATCTGCTTCTCTATGAAGCTTTATCTGATAGATTCCATTTCGCTCTTTAAATTTTTGGAGCCACCCAGAAGAAAAATATAACTTGCCTTCAGGGACTCCTAGTTTATCCGCTAACAATTTTGCCTTTTCGATCATCATAGTATCGCTTAGAATAGTGCGATATTGATAGATTAGTATGAATTTCTTGAGCGCTAGCTCAAGCTCTGGTACAGTAACGGTCTATGTCGCTTGGCATCTGGATTTACGATTTCATTTGAAAGTCATTGGTCCTTAGTTTGTAAGATTCGAGTGACCGTAGACTTATTAATTTTAACCCCCATTTGTCTTCAATCCACTTCACATATTCTGGGTGGGTTCTCTTATTATCATGAGCGTAGACACAGAATTCAAATTTTTGTGTGTCCATTAAGGTTGTTCTTTTTGGCATTATTCAAAAAACGTTACATGAAAAAATTA